TGACCGCTTGTCGGAACCCCACAGGCCGGCTTCAAGGGCAACGAGGCCCAGGCGGAGAATGTTCAGGCGGGAAGCCGGGAAGCGCTCAGACCTGCCGGCCGTTTTTTGGTTGTTGACCCCATATTAGTTGACCAAGCTGTTACTTGGTTATGAATCGGTGGGGTGTTTTTTTTTTTCCCTGGGTGAGTTTTGGGGGATCAGACCACCTTTGGAGGGGCCAAGAACCGCCCCCCGAATTTGACAAACTGGCTGGTTGATTATGGGGTCAACATTAAGAGTCACCTGTTGAGCAACCTGTTTGCTTCCTACTGTGGATGGACGAAATCCTGCACCACCTACAAAACCCTGGAATGATGAGTTCGTTTTAAAAAACCAACAAACAATGGTGTCCAATGGTTTCAAAGTGGTGTAGGATTTCGTCCATCCACAGTATTGGCGATGTTGCAGACGGGGCGGACCCAGGGCCCGGCCAGCAATGCAGGCGGTTTGGGAGGCGAAGCTTCGGGAGAACCGCGAGGCGGGGTGACCCAACCAGATTTGTTTTTGGAGGTGCCTGGTTTTTGGTTTGTTGGATTAAAGGGGGACCAGCAGGCCACCATGCGTTTTTTTGGGATCAACCACACGTTTTTTTTTGGGGGGGGCTAATTTGACACACCCCAAAATTGAGGGCCCAGATATTTTGGAGCCACTGCCAAATAAATGGAGGTGTGCACCCACCAAATGGGGCAGTTTCCTTTCGAGTTGAATGGAAAGCTGGGGCCCACAATGGTTGGATGTCCCAGCTTCTCTGCAGGTTTTGCCTTGAAACAAAATGTCAAAAGTTACACTCAAAAAAGCAAGCCAATGCTGTATGTGAAAAGTCGGGGGACGGGCATTCAGACAAGTTTTGGGGCTTGGGAACGACGCTATGCACCCAGCAAGCCAAGGGATGTCAGCCTACGGGCAAGTTGTCATGGTCATGGCGACTCATCTTGGCGCGAAGCATGCTCGGAGTTCGCGTGTGCCAAGTGTGCACATGCTCTCAATCAGCTACTGTGGCTTCCTGGTGTTGAGGGTTGACAAATGCCCTCAACTTGGTCTATCCGCATTGGACACCAGCATTTTTTGCAGGGCCGGCATGCCCCCAACTTGGGGTCTGACAGAGACATCGGACCCCGCTCGCAGGTGGGACTGCGGAGCTGCCAAGAGAAGCTGAAGGGGCATCTCCAAAGCCGGAACCGGGTGGCGCTGGAGGCGTGAAACATCGGCCCAGTGAAGCTTGCTCTCAGGTCGGGTGACGCGGTAAAACCCTCCCACGGATACTTGGAAGCCCTCGCCTCCACTCAGAGGGCGAGTTCCGCGTTTTGGCTCGTCTTGGCCCGGCTTCTTTGAGCCTGCCGGGCGCCACCGGGCCAGGCGGTGCTGGCCATCAGCAGCACCTTCATGGAAGACCTGGTGAGGTACAAGTTCATGGGCATGGTGTCTTCGGTGGTGGCCTGCATGCAGCGCCCTGGCCGAATTTTTGGGGGAGAGGCTGTGCTTTGGGTTTGAACTGGGGGAGTGGGCGCAAAAGGTGCATTAGGATTGTCATGCGTTGGGCACACCAAAGGCTGGCTGGCGAAGAGGCTTTGCTTTAGGTTTGAACTGGGGTGGGGGTGGGGGGGGTGACAAGATTTTGGGCGCAAAAGGTGCACGAGAATTTCGCGTGGCTCAGTAAAGGTGCACGGATGCGTTTGCACATTTTTGGGGGTCGATTCCCGCCTTGGCGGTGGAGGACCGGTTAGCCACCTGCTGCAGTTACATCGCATGCTTTCCCGTCGCCTACGATTGCCAGTTCGACAAGCGTCGGGGACACCTACGAAGATGACTGGTCTTGAACAGGCTGGTGAAAAGGCAGCGTCACTTTCTGCCAAACTGTGCAAGCTTTCAGTCCGTCCTCTCGCAAGTTTTGAGGATGCCACTTCAATCGACGCCGAGGGACGAATGCTTTGTTTTGTTGGAGGCTTCGGCAACTTTCAGGCACAGCCTGCACTTGTTTCCTAATCTGCTGTGTTCTGTTTGAGCGGCCTTGGGGGATGTGTGACTCAGTTGCCCACAGTCCCGACCCTTGGACCTTTCGGTTTCTCCGTGTTGGTCCAGTGTTCGCGGCCCCATCAAAAGGTGATCACCTCTTATTTCCAGGTCCTTTTCTAGGGGTTGATTCCTTGTCCATTCTTTTCAACCATCGTTCTTTTAAACCACCGGCCGTCTCCCCCGCTTTTTTTTGTTTCCTGAAAAGATTCGGATCCCCGGAAATGGACATGGGGAAGCTACCCCACCTTTGGGCGACTGAGGCGAGGTGGCCCCAAGATTTGGGGATTGCCATGTCGTCTGACGCCAAAAGAAAACCCGAGGATGTTCCCAACCGAGAAGATCCAGGCGGGCCGAAGATCCCCCGGTGGCCCCGAGCAAGCCGAAAGGTTCTCACGCCGGAGCCGGAGCCGGGCCTCCGCTTCTTTTTCTTCTTCTTTTCTTTTTTTGCGATCTTGACTTGGAGGGTTCCCCAAGTGATGTTTTTTTTTGTTCAACTCAATTCCACCAGTGGGGCCCCCTGTTTTTGGGTACTAGGGTCTCTGGGGCAACTGCGAAAGACTCACCGGAAGGTATGGCAGGTTGGACATCTGCAGGTCTTGATGTGTTTGAAAGGGTGAGGCAACTTTGGGTTGAAGCCACCGCGCTGGTTCCTTTGATTACACCCAGGTTGACCCATTTCCTGGCTTGGAACGAACCACCCGACCGGGGATGCGAAAGACGATGGCATGGCACCTTCTTTTTGTTTGGTCCCTGAAAAGAGGACGCCGATCTAAGCCGCACAGGTTTTGGTGCGTCGGTTTCCGGTCCAGAGCTCTGGGACTCGTATCCTCTGCCTTCCTTCAGTCACTCCGAGGGACTTCCACAGAGGCAAGAAAACCGCATCGCTGATTTCTGGGATGGGCCAAGCTGCTCGGAAGGTCCCGGCGTGCAAGATCTTGTTCCGCCGCCTGGCGGCAAACCGTTTCGATGCGCGCGTCGTGGCGCGTCGTGGCGCGTCGTTGCGCTTCGGCGTCTGGTGGCTCTCGTTTCTGGGGGCTGTACTTGTTGCATCCCCACAGCCTTCAAAATGGACTCGGGGGGATGGGGCTGACGGAAGTTTCATGTACTGGTTCCAGTTTCCATTTTGTAGGGGGGGTGCTAGATGAATGGAGTTGGGTTTCCAAAACTCCATTTATGATTCCAGTTTCCAGAATTCCATGAATGGTTCCAGTTTCCAATCACGAAAGCTAGCTTTAGCTAGCTGAAGTTTCTCCTTGCGTAAGCAAGGTAAGGGGCTCAAATGCCGAAAGATTGATTTTTTCAATTATTTGAGCCGAAAAGATTGAAAAACATCAATTATTTAGACCCCCCCCCCCCCTCCCCCCCCCCGGTCTCAGGCTCGATTCCTCCCTGGTCCATCCCCCCCCCCCGGGCAGTGGCTCAGTGTTCAGCAGTCTCGGTTTGCCCGTTTTGGACTTGGTGCTACGAACTTTTACATGTTCCACCGATTCAGCTTGTTCATTTGAGACCTCAGTCTTCTCAGTAAACCACCTCGCAAGAATCTTTGCACACGCAGCATGCAGAACCCAGAGGTGCTTTTAAGACGGCTTCTGACGCCTCTCGTTTTCAAGGTTTGCCACGCCACCATGTGCGTTTAACGAATCTTGCCGGGCCTCTCGTTGTACCCATGAATCCACTCTGTCACCGACCCATCTCATGCAACAACTGCTAGCTTTCGTTCACCCGCTTCTCAAGTTTCGGGTGGGGGGAATGTGGGGATGGCTGGATATGCTCGAGACTTGGCCTCGGGCATTTAGGCCTGACCTCCAACGAGAGCCTCAGCCACGAGCACGAGGCAGCCGCGCGGAACCGTGCCAAAGAGTCCAAAGGCCCCCAAGCGGAACCGAAGACAGCTTGGGAGTCCCAAGAAAAGCAGAGACCAAGGATCCCCCAAGCCAAACGCAAGGGAATTCACAGCTCTTATTTGTCTTTTCTTCTTTTTTGGGGGGAGGGGGGGAAATCCACGCCGGCCGGCCTCGAGGTTGAGGGCTGGAATTCCATGCGACTTTCATCCCAAAGGGTCCAGACCTCAATTCCAATTCGAGACTTCAAGCTCTCGCAACCTCGGTCCAGGCCCTCCGGATTTAACACCTCTAAGCGGATTAGGTTTTTAGGGGTTGATAGGGTTCTGCTTTCGCAGTCGAAAAAGGGGACCCAACTTGTGGAACTGATTTGAACAACCAAAATCAGTGCGGAACCCTCCAAATCAAGATCGAAAGGTTTGCTCGGGTGTTTTAGGGGTTCTGGTGGTCGCTGGGGTTGGCCTTTCTGAAGTCAAGTTCATATCGCATGGCATCCCCTCATGGCATGAGGGGGTGCAGCAGCCTGTGGCTCGCACATGCAGGAAGCCATCCAGAAGTTGGCCAAGTGCAACGGCATAGGCAGGACCTGCTGGCCCCATTGGAACATCAAGAAGGCGACCCTCACACTCGTCAACATGGAACCTGACAGGGGGTCAAAAGGAAAATGATCTTCCAGGACCCCTGTCAGGTTCCATGTTTATTGGTGGGAGGGTAAGAGACTTGCTCCCTCAGCAAGTCCCTTGATCTTGTCATCCAAGCGTGGAGCATCGGGGCGTCCCTTTTTCAGGCCACTCATCCCTTCCCTTATTGATACGCCCCCCTAATAAAAGCTTGGTGTGAGGGCAAGCCATATGTACAGGCATAGGCGTCCTTTTTGTTTCTTTTGTCGAAAAATAGAGGGCGGTTCCTGGTTTACCTGGTGGTTTAATCATCTACCAGGGAGACCCATCTATTTCCTCTAAAAGGACACCTATGTGCACTCTTCTTCCAACTAACATGGCACGTGTGGGAAGGTACGTGGAAGATTCATTTCCTTTTGCAGGGAGCCCCTGTCAGTTGCCATGTTAGTTGGAGGGACCCGAAGGCATGACGGGATGACGGGATGAC